CCGGAACGGTTTTAAATTATAGAAGACATCTGGCTTGAGCTTACTACACTGCCCCGTTCTTTTAATTTCTCATTAGTTGTTTAGTAAGCGAAAATATACGTCAACATGGGTAAGAAAGGTGTGGGTGTGCGTGTTAACGTAGTTATTCTTAATCCACGCCCACACCCTAAGACAGAGTGACATTCGAAAGATTTAAAAATATTTTCACCTGGAAAAAAACCAATGCTAAACGAGCAGTTTCAAATTGACTACAAAGTGTTATTAAATTTGAATATTTTTCATGCATTTAACATTAAACTTATTCTAATTGTTAATAGTTCAATTGAAAAAGCAATCAGATATATTCGAAATACAAAACAAAACAAACGATTGTGGTTTCAAATAAAAAATATAAAACCAAATTCTGAAGATTATTATTGATAATGTTGTCAAATATTATTTGATGTATCAAAATTCACGATCATACCTTTATCTAATACAATAATACGATCACATGTAGCTACTGTATTCTATCAATAGGCAATTGTTCACACAGTTCAATCTTTATCAACTTTATTAGTAATTGCTGCTTGAATTCTCATCTGTTTTTGATCAACATTAGCTGTCGCTTCATCACTTAATAAAATTTTACTTTTTTTAGCATGGCTCAATCAATAAAAATTATTGATATTGGCCATGTACAGAAAAAAAAAGATTTCTTTTTAAACATATGTTCACACAAAGATGGAGAAAGGGTAAAAACAAGGAGGATAAATTAAGTGCATTCTCTCACTTGAATCTAGGTTAAACATTGAACGGAGAAGATGACGTCAGATATTTTCCTTTTCAATTGCTCAATAGAAGGAGAAAGAAGTAGAACTAGAAAGAAAATGTGAATTGTAAAGATTCTTATGGGCAATGAAAACAAACGACCTAGATGCGTACATGACGGAAAATATGAATAATGCACAGAAATGAAAAAGAGAAGAGGTGGAATAAGAAGAGCAAAGAAAGATGTATATATATATATATATATATATACATAGAGCGAAAGCATCTAGTTAGAGTTGATTTCTAATAAATCGAAAACATCTTACAAATAGAATTTTTGTTCGAAACAATGCGGTTGTATGGCATTTTTTGTTATTTTATTTATGAGATTAAAAATTTCTCATAATTAAATCAATTTTTAGATTCTCAACAAGTTTAGATACATTCATTTACATTATGGATTTTACTGGATTTAGTGACAATGCTGAGGAAAGAACATTGATATCTTTATCGAATTCGGTGTTCGTCAGAAAAAATTTTATCTTTGAATCAATATCAGTAAGATATTACTCGTATTTTTTTTGACAGATAAGAAAACTTGTCTCTTAGAGCAAATGGGAATGAACATCAGGTCAATTACAACAAAAATGGCATTCGTGTTCGAACAATGCATTCTTTTATACAAGGCAGTTATACTATTAATTTTAAGGTAATCTTAGAAAATCATTAAACTTTATATACTTCCAAAAATTAATTTTAGATACCAGAATCCAAGCATTTCCAGGTGATGAAATCAGATTATATACGTAAAATAATCAGGGTATATTAAAGTTATAATTATTCTTAGAAATGGTTTTTTTTAGGGAATTACAAAAGGAGAATCAGTTCAAAGAAAAGTTGCTTCGAAAAATACGGCTTAATTTACCGAACAAAAACTTCATCCAAGCAGCCACAACTGCACCAGATGCAGGTTCATCAACTGCAAGTGAAGATCATCCAGTCGTGTCACCAACAGCATTCCTTGATGACGGTGTTACGGATCTAGATGAGTATGTATAGGAAAAGACAAGTATCGATAAGACCATCTTTTGTCCAAAATACAGGATGGTCCAAAATAGGTATGCACCAGTTTCAGTCATGACTGGTGAACTGGGTACCAGTCATGACTGGGTCATCAATCATTTGATCTTTAGTTTATTAAATGAATAATACTTTCCTCTTTTTTGTCACATAATAAACTGATATGAACCTATTAAAGACCTAATACGAGCTATATCATAGCATTAATTGATTATTCTTGTGTCCCTATGTGTCAACTGTTGTCACATACGGTATTATAAAATAATTTCAGATGAATTAGATCTGTCCATATAACTGAGGATGAGTAGTTTTCCTCTCCGTCGCATATTTACACACCAAAGGTTGAAAATTTTATCAAAAAAAGTGCACTGTTCGACTCTTCATGAATTTAAAGTCGTGAGTTGACTACAAATACTCTGTGATTGTAGTGTAGTCATTAATGTAAATTAAAGTTATGCTTCAAACACACTCAATTTATCCTGTTCGCATATAATATAACAGCCAGCTTGAAAAAAAGTATTTTACATTGCTGGTCAGTTCTGAAATCAAGAAGAACAATTCTGTACTTATACAAAGTGGAAGACTGTATAATTAGATAGATAGTAAAAAGCAATGGCATAAAAGATAAGTTATGGTTTTATGCTGCTTTTCCTCTCATACATAGTTAGTGTCTTATTTATTGTCTACTGGAACTTTATAATGAAGATATGCAACATATAAGTTATAAAAATTATTTGATTTGTATTTCTTGTTTTTTGACGATACTTATATATTTTAATGCTTGCATTAACAGTTATTATTAGCTTAAATTCAGTCTCAATGAAACGAAATTCCATCATATGATGTGCAAGCTTTTTGTGGCTTAACTCAATTGAAAGTTTTTATCTGAACATTCAGCCTTCTCATTAACAAATAGTTCTCTAAAATTTAAAAAAAATTGACAAATACAGAAGTGCAGCTAGTGAATAAAATTTTAATGACACTCAAAGAAGACATCTTTCAGAACAGAGTGAAGTGTGAAAGAATACTTTAGAGCACAGATATTGCTCGACAAGGGTGTGGGTGGGTGTGGGGTGTGGGGTGTGGATGTGGGTGGGTGGGTGAGGGTGTGGGTGTGGATGTGGGTGAGGGTGTGGGGTGTGGGCGTGGGTGTTGGTGTGGGGTGTGGATGTGAGTGTGGGTGGGTGAGGGAGTGGATGTGGGTGTGGGGTGTGGATGTGAGTGGGTGAGGGTATGGGTGTGGGGTGTGGATGTG